TGGTCATGCTGGTCTGGAATGTTTGACCTCATAATCCGCCCACCTTGGCCTCCCAAAGTGCTGGCACTATAGGCATGAGCCACCACACCTGGCCAGAAATACAATTCTAACTGGTTTAAGAAAAAGTAAGGGAGCCTATAATCACAACCAGCCCGGCCAACATGTTGTAACCCTGTCTCTACTAAAAAAAAAAAAAAAAAAAAAAAAAAAAAAAAAAAAATTAGGCCAAAATTAAAAAAAACAAAAAACAAAAATTAGCCAGGCATGGTGGTATATGCCTGTAGTCCCAGCTACTCAGCGGGCACAAGAATCACTTGAAATTGGGAGGTGGAGATTGTAGTAAGCCAAAATTGCACCCTTGTAGTCCAGCCTGGGCCACAGAGCAAGATCTGTCTTGAAAGAATAAAAAACAAAAAGGGAAGAAATGCATTGATTCTGGAGGTCTGGTAGTAGGATTGCAGGCATGGCTGGATCTAGCAGCTTAAGTGATGAAATCAGTTATCTTTCTCTATCTCTTTGCTCTGCTCTCCTCTGTGGGGGTCCATGTGGGGGGCGAAAGTGGTGCCAAGCTTGTATTCTGCCAGCCAACAAGCCCAGAGAGCTTATCTTAGAACTAACAGCCACTGGCCGGGCGCAGTGGCTCAAGCCTGTAATCCCAGCACTTTGGGAGGCCAAGGCGGGTGGATCATGAGGTCAAGAGATCGAGACCATCCTGGTCAACATGGTGAAACCCCGTCTCGACTAAAAATACAAAAAAATTAGCTGGGCATGGTGGCACGTGCCTGTAATCCCAGCTACTCAGGAGGCTGAGGCAGGAGAATTGCCTGAACCCAGGAGGCGGAGGTTGCGGTGAGCCGAGATCACGCCATTGCACTCCAGCCTGGGTAACAAGAGCGAAACTCTGTCTCAAAAAAAAAAAAAAAAAAAAAAAAAAAAGAACTAACAGCCACTATGATTGGCTGGACATGGGTCATGTATACATCTGCAGAGCCAGGGATGTAGGAATCTCATCTTTTATTGATTGATTGATTGATTAAGATGGAATCTCACTCTTGTCACCCAGGCTGGAGTGCAGTAGCATATTCTCGGCTCACTGCAACCTCCACCTCCCAGGTTCAAGCGATCCTCCTGCCTCAGCCTCCTGAATAGCTGGAATTACAGGCACCCACCATCATGTCCAGCTAATTTTTGTATTTTTTAGTAGAGATGGGGTTTCACCATATTAGCTAGGCTGGCCTCGAAATCCTGACCTCGTGATCTGCCCCCCTCAGCCTCCCAAAGTGCTGGGATTACAGGTGTGAGTCACCGCGCCTGGCTAGGAATCTTATCTTAACCCCAGGCACTGAAAGTGAAGGCAAGGTTCCCCAAACAGAAACTGAATGCCGTTATCAGAATCCGGGAAAGCAGTGCTGGGCTGTCAGGAGCCATGGATGTCCCTTGGATTCCCTTGCAGGACAAAGTCACGTCCTTCTCTTCCCTTCAGCAGTCTGTCCCCCTGACTACAACTTCTATCCTTTATGTGGTGGGGAGAGCTCAGCTCTGAACACCTACTGAGCACCAGGAATTTTTTTTTTTTTTTTTGAGATGGAGTATTGCTCTTGTTACCCAGGCTGGAGTGCAACGGTGCGATCTCGGCTCACCGCAACCTCCGCCTCCTGGGTTCAGGCAATTCTCCTGCCTCAGCCTCCTGAGAGGCTGGGATTACAGGCACGCGCCACCATGCCCAGCTAATTTTTTGTATTTTTAGTAGAGACGGGGTTTCACCGTGTTGACTAGGATGGTCTTGATCTCTTGACCTTGTGATCCACCCGCCTCGGCCTCCCAAAGTGCTGGGATTACAGGCTTGAGCCACCGCGCCTGGCCTAGCACCAGGTATTTTTACCCACATTTATCCCACCGGATTCTTGCTGTGAAGCCACACAAGACAAACCTGGGTTTGTAACTCCTCAGTTGCAAGAGGAAACTGAGGCCCAGAGAGAAGAGATTTGCCCACGGCTGGCAAATGGCAGAGCTGGAGTCACTCCCAGATGCTGATGTTGCTCACAACTGTATCTGTGTCCCCATCTGACGCCGCCACCATGGGGGAGCTCCCTCTTGTCTATGCTGCTCCTCTTCCCACCTTGCCTAGCACAGGGCCCCACACACAGCAGCGCCCAGGAAATAAGCATTGGATTGACCTGACTCCAAGCAGGCAGGGTGGACGATGGGGGATGGAAGATAAGGGATGGAGGAAGGAGCTGAGCGGCCCCAGGGGCATCTGACCTTTAATAAAGTTCCCCTGTGTCCCTATTCTCACGCTGGCTCCTCCCCATCTCAGCTTAACCCTCCTCAACTCCTCAGAGAGGCCTTCCCGCCCATCCCTGCCCCCACCCCACTCATGTCTGTCTCAGCCCCTGCTCCATTCCTTCATAGCACCTTTTACTATTGGTCATTATCATTTTAATTTGCCTTATGGTTTGGTCTACCCAATCTCCTCGTAAGGTCTGTGGGGACAAGGACTGATCACATCTCACTTGATCCCACTGGTTCCTTGACTCGTTCATTGCACACAGCAGGTGCCCAACCATGTCTGCAAAGTCAAAGCTCTCCAGTGTGGATAGCAGGTGCCACCCCTGTCCTGGCAAGCAGACTTTCTCTCAAACCTCTCACCCACCCCTTCCCTGCCACCCAGGGCCTCTGCTGCCACCATCCTAAGGGAAGATTGAGCCCTTTGCCTGCTGGGGCCATCTGAGTGGGGAGAAAGCCGGTGCGAGCCTGGCAGTGACAGTGGAGGGCAGCCGGGCTTCCAAGCTGGCAGACAAAGGGCGTCTGTTCTTGTCCAGTGCACTTCCTGGGTTTCCATTGCAGGAAGTTTGGCACCTGCTGATAGGTGACATCGACACCTGGGCTGCTGCGGGCCAGGATGCACCCCTCCAGCCGGGAGTGGTGGTGGCAGTGGAGCAGGCGGCCAAAGGTGCTGGAGGCAGGTGAGCAGAGGCAGCGGGACCCTCATTCCCTTTGGACTGTCCCAGAGCAGATGTGGGAGGCCTCCGTCCTAGAGTGAGTCAGTGTGACCTTGAGCAAAGCCCCAGATCAACCCTTCAGTGCCCTGCTATCCCACCTGGGGGTGCAGGTGGCTCAGGGGATGTCATGGAGGTGACAGCGGGCAGCTCCACTTTTATCTCTAAAATAAACTTCTGGATCATCAAGCACTTGGAAAGGGGTTCTACAGCCAAAAGCTCCTGAAAACCCCCAGATCACACCTTCGTCCTTTGAGTCCTTCCTGTGTCTGGCGTTGGGTGTTTCCCTCCCAGTGGAGGGTATGGGGAAGTCTCCTCCAAACGATGCTGCAAAGCTTGGGGGCTGGGAGCAGCAGGGTATCACTGCCAAGCCAGGACTGAGCCAAGGGGGGACTCAAACAGCCCTGAGCTGCAGCCTCGCCCTGCTGCACAGAACTCTCACCACCTCCAAGTCCCAGCTTCCAAATCTGTGAAGGGTGGCAGTGGTACCTGTTCCTGAGACTAGCAGAGCTGTGTGCCCAGGGACATGGCGGCTCTGGTTTGAATTCAGCTCTGTCATTTGCCCCTAGTGTAGCCTTGAGCCTCTCAGGGCCGGCCTCCGTGTCCTTGACTGTGAAGAGGAATCATCAGCCCTGGCACCCGGGGCTCTTGTGGGATTCAGAAGGGAATGAGGATGGGCGCCAGCACCGAGAAAGCCCCCACCGACGGCAGCTGCTGGGACCGCTGCTGTTACTGCAGTTTGACTGTGGGGATCAAATGGGAAAGGGGTGACAAGAGGGATGGGAGGGGTGATGATTGGTGGGAGAGGGCGAAGGCACCCTCCTTCCACCCTTATAAACCAGCCTCCCTCAGAAATAGTCCCAGAGCCACCCTGGAGGGCTGACTGTAGCTGTGGGGCCGCAGGAGAGGGCCAGATGCTGCCTGGCCGCCCCGCAGATGGCGCTGGGTCCAGCGCTCCTCCAGACTCAGCCACTGTGGCTTTAATCAAAAGAACAATCTGTTTGCCTCTGAATCAGACCCAGATTCCTTTCCCCACAATGCTCCTGAGGCCTCCAGGGACCCAGGCAGCCCATCCCAGCCCCATCCTGGGCCCCAGAGCCAGGCTCAGCCTTCCCTCTCCCTACCGTCCTAACTGCTCCAGCTAGGAGGGAGAGGGTCACTGGAGGTGGAGGGAGGGGTTCAGCCACTGGGCCAGCTGAGCTCTGCCTTCCAGAGCTCCTGGAGTGGCCTGTTCCCCAGGACACAGGGACCCACCTGCAGAGGGCTTATAGCTCAGGACAGCAGAATAAGGTGACCTGCTGCACTGGGAGGTCTCTGAGACCCCCACCCGCAGGGGCACTCCCGGAAAAAAACCCCAACCCAGCATATATTAACCTCTATTAATCACAGTCCTGGCTGTGACTGTCACCTTTTATCCTCAGGCCAACCTGGGGAGGTAGGCAGTGGCTACTCCCACTTTACAGATGAAGATACTGAGGCTCAGGAGGTGGCGTGACTGCTCCAGGTCTCACGCTTAGTGAACGGCCGCAGAACCCTGATCGGTTTGACTGGGGACCCTGGCGGATCCGAGAGCCAAACTGGGGTGTAAGAGCTCACCTACGCGGGACAGGGCAGGTGCGGGCGTCAGCCCAGGAAAGCAAGGGAAGCGGGAGGGCAGGGACCACTCGGGGTCCAAAACGGACACCAGGGGGTGGACAGCGGGGAGGGAAGGAGGCCCACCCCACTCCCCATTCCTCTGCCCCCACACCCCTTCCCCCTAACCCCCACCCCCGGGCCTGGGCCAAGTGGGAGGGGAGGCGTGGTCCAGGAGACAAAGGGAGGGGGAGGGGGCGGCGCGGGGCGCGGCGGAGCAGGTTGTGGGGCGGGTAGGGGGGCAGGTAAGAACCGCTTCTGCGGGGCGGGAACCCCGGCCCCCTCCCCACCGAGCCTCACCTTTTATGGTAACGCGGCGCGGGGCGGCGGGGCGGAGGGAGCCGAGGGGGCGGGGAGGGCGGACGGGCGGAGGGGGCGGGAGGCCCCGCAGCTCCGGACTCCGCTGGCTCGGGCGTCGGATCGGAGCCGCAGGGGCGCAGGCGGCCCAGGTAAGCGGCCGGGTGGGTGGGGGTGGCCTTCCTCCGTCCCTGTCCCCGTCGCACACAGGTGACAGCGCAGGCAGCGCTCGGCCGTAGCCCGCCCGGTCCCCAGCCGGGAGTCCCGGCGCGGCGCCCTTGGAGGGGCCTGCGGGCGGGGGTGCGGTCCTCACGTCCTTTGCGTCCCCGTCTCTTTTGGTCTCTGTCCCCGGAGTCGGGGGGTCGGCGGGTCCGGGGCGAAGGTTCAGTGGGGGCGGCGGAGGGTCGAGTCCCAGCCCGGGAGCGGGCGCGCTGGGCGGAAGCTCCCGCACAAAGGCCCGCGTCCCGCACATGGATCGAATTAAAGCCCCGGCGGCGCCCCGCGGTGACCCCGGCGGCCGCCCTGCTCGGCTGCCTGCGAGGGCCCCGCGTTTCCGGAACCCCAGGCCCCTTTCCCAGCCAGGGTCAGGGGAGGCGAGGCACGGGTCCCTGGGCTGCCCCTCTCTGGGCCTCCTGCGCACGTCGGGGGCTGAAAAGGTGCGGAGCTGGGCAATAGGTGTGTGCCCTGGGGTGATCTTGGCATCGTCTCCTCCCCCCAATCCCCCCCCCCCCGCCACCTCCCGCCCCGGCCTGAGGACCCCCGGGAGAGGCTGGGGCCGCGCCCAGATTCCTGCTCTTAATGACGGCAGCCTGACACTCCAGGCTACCTCCTGGTCCTGGAGGCACCCCCAGCGGAGCCCAGCCCCAGGGCCCTTCTCCCGCTCAGCCGCTGCATAACCTTCTCTTTGCGCCTTCCAAGGGCCTCGACCCTGAGCCTTCTTTCCTTCTATATACTCTCAGCCGCCTTCAGGACAGACTCATTCTCACTTTATGAAAAGAACGAGGCCAGAGAGGTTCAGTGACCTGTGCGGGGTCACCCCGCAGGAAAGAGGTGGGGCCTCTTGTGAAGCCAGCTCTGTCTCCTCTGTTTCCCTGGGGTGGGAGAGAGGTTGAGGGAACCCCTCCCCAAGGCTGCAAGGTGGGAGGAGTTGGGGCACAGCCCGCCCCGTCCCCATATCCTCCCCATCTCTCCAGCTAAGTTTAATTCTGGACCCAAAGGTAGACTTCTACCTACCCGGCTGAAGCCGGGTGTGGTGGCTCGCTCCTGTGATCCCAGCACTTTGAGAGGCCAAGGCCGGCAGATCACTTGAAGTCAAGAGTTAAAGATCGGCCTGGCCAACATGGTGAAACCCTGTTTCTACCAAAAATACAAAAATTAGCCAAGTGTGGTGGCACACGCCTGTGGTCCCAGCTACGAGGGAGGCTGAGGCAGGAGAACTGCTTGAACCTGGGAGGCAGTTTCAGTGTGCCGAGATTGCATCACTGCACTCCAGCCTCTGGAGCAAGACTGTCTCAAAAAAAAAAAAAAAGAGAGAGAGAAAGACGAAAGAAAGAGAGAGAGAAAGAAAGAATGAACAACGCTTAGAGGTGGTTTGAGGGTTTTTTGGGTTTTTTTTGGTTTGTTTGTTTGTTTTGTTTTTTTTGGAGTAGGGAATAAGGAGTAGGAAGGAGGCCTGAGCTGCACATCCTCTGCCCCAAGGCTTCAGCCTCTAGCTGGTCTGGGTGGCTGGCTGGATCCCAACCTCCTTCCTAACTTTGAACAGGAAATGACTTTCCTTCCCTTTGTTCCCACTTTCTCCACTTATCTAACTGGATCTCTGATTCACCCTCTCGGGGAGGAAGAGTGGGGGCAGAGGGTCCCCTGGGCACGGGAGACTGCCCCTGGGAACTTACACACATCCTGCTGCTCCCCCCACACACCCTGCTCCCAGCTGTCTAGCGGGCAGTGGGACCAGAGGGAAGCCGGGGCTCCCTTTTCCGACGGAATTGACAGGGTTTTGAAACTCCCCAGCTCAGTCCCTTCCCCCGGGGCCTGAGGTCCCTGTAGTCTCTGCTTCGGAGAGATGGGGGCTGCCCAGCTGTGAACATCTGGCCTCCGTGCTGGACATTTTCTGAGAAACCAGGCATATCTGACTTCCCGGAGGAGTGGAGGAAGGGTCAGGGCTGGGTGGGAGGAGAAAGAGGGCCATCTCAAAGGCCCACGGCAGCCGGGGGACCAGCCCAGAACCTGCCGGCCACAAGATTTCTGGATTGGGTCATTCTAGAGGGAGAACAGGCCTGGCAACTTGGGGGGCCTTGTGCCATCCAAGGAGGAAAAGTGTGTCCTCTCAGGTATGGGGACACCCTGGATTTCCAGGTGGGATGATGTTCCATTAGAATTCCGGGAGCCATGGATGGCCTGGGAAAGTCACTTAACCTCTTGGGACCTCATAGGCTCCATCTGCAAAGTGGGGCCAGGATGGGCCTTTCTTGCAGCTAGATTGAGAGGTCGGTGGGTTTTGAGGCACATACAGTACCTGGCACAAGGCCTGGCGCCTTAGCAGCAAGTTGTTTGGTATTTCTTTAAATCTCAGATGCACTCTGAATATTGTTGACAAAAACAGATTCTTAAACTTACAACAAAGTGTAAAACTAAAGCCTGTGACAGCCAGCCTGAGCATACATACTTTCAGACACCATTGCCAAACCCAGAAGCAAAAGAGAAGTACTTTTAAATAAGTTTTGAGGCTCTTTCCTAATATATTGGTTTCTTACTCAGAATAGATACTTTATTATCAGACTGGGCTATATGTTTTAGCCAAACACATAAACCAACTTAAGAGTAATTCAGGAGCCCTTATTACTGTTTTTATTATCCATCAGTCGCTGAGAACGCACAGTGGCCAGTGCACAAAGGACAGCCTGAAGAGTGAGATTGAAAAGGACACTTTTTTTTTTTTTTTTTTGAAACTGAGTCTTGCCCTGTCATCCAGGCTGGAATGCAGTGGCTCAATCTCAGCTCACTGCAACCCCCACCTCCCAGGTGCAAATGATTCTCCTGCCTCAGCCTCCCAAGTAGCTGGGATTACAGGCACCCACCATCATGCCCAGGAGATTTTGTTATTTTTGGTAGAGACGGGGTTTCACCGTGTTGGCCAGGCTGGTCTCGAACAGCTGGGATTACAGGCGTCAGCCATTGTGCTCCACCTAAAAAGAGACATGTTTTAGCCCTGGGCACGGGTGTTGCATGCCTGGTAAGGACTGCTGGGCTCACTGGACTCCCAACTCTCCCACCATGTCCCCACCTCAGCCTTGGCCACAGAGGCTACTGTCGGTATGAACTACGTGACATATGGGAAATAATGCCCTTTTCCTGACATCAGGATGTCAGGGTGCCACCATGCTCTCAGATCTGTTTTGTTTGGGTTTTGTTTGTTTGTTTGAGACAGAGTCTCCCTCTGTCGCCCAGGCTGGAGTGCAGTGGCGCAATCTCAGCTCACTGCAACCTCTGCCTCCCAGGATTCCGGCGATTCTCCTACCTTAGCCTCCTGAGTAGCTACAGGTTCAAGCCACCATGCCTGGCTAATTTTTGTGTGTGTTTGTTTGGGGACTGAGCCTCCCTCTGTCGCCCAGGCTGGAGTGCAGTGGAGCAATCTGAGCTCACTGCAACCTCCACCTCCTGGATTCAAGCAGTTCTCTGCCTCAGCCTCCTGAGTAGCTGGGATTACAGGTGCCTGCCACCACACTCAGCTAATTTTACAGTTTTAGTAGAGGTGGGTTTTCACCATGTTAGCCAGGCTGGTCTTGAACTCCTGACCTCATGATCCACCCCCTCCTTGGTCTCCCAAAGTGCTGGGATTACAGGCGTGAGCCACCAAACCCGGCCAAATTTTGTATTTTTACTAGAGACAGTGTTTCACCACGTTGGCCAGGCTGGTCTCTAACTCCTGACCTCAAGTGATCCCCAGCCTCTGCCTCCAGAAGTGCTGAGATTACAGACATGAGCCACTGCACCCAGCCAAATCTGTGCTTTGATGCCTGCACTCTGAGCTACCCTCTAGGCACAGAAAGAATGCAGGCACTGCTGAAGGTCACACACACTGATAGTGAGCTTGTGAGCCAGGCTGTCCTGCCCTGGGACTGTCATCTCTGTCATCGCCCTTGGCAGCAGAAACCACCCCTGGAGAGGGCCAGGAATCAGGAGGACCTTGTGGAGGAGGTGATGTTTGAGCTGGGCCTCTAAGAGAAAGCTGAAATTCACCCTGTGGGGGCAGGAGAGGAAAACCATAGGAGAATCACTCCAGGGCATGAGGCAGGGCATGGGAAGGACGAGTGGTCCAGGGGCTCAAAGAAGCTGAGGCTGCAGCACCTGGACTTCTTCCTAAAGCCAGGCTCTTTTTCTTTTTCTTTTCTTTTCTTTTGTGAGACAGTATAACTCTTGTTGCCCAGGCTGGAGTGCAATGGTGTGATCTCGACTCACTGCAACCTCGGCCTCCCAAGTTCAAGCGATTCTCCTACCTCAGCCTCCCGAGCAGCTGGGATTACAGGAATGTACCACCATGCCTGGCTAATTTTATATTTTCAGTAGAGATGGTGTTTCTCCATGTTGGTGAGACTGGCTGGTCTTGAACTCCCAACCTCAGGTCATCCACCCACCTTGGCCTCCCAAAGTGGGATTACAGCCATCAGCCACTGCATCTGGCCTTTTTTCTTTTTCTTTTCTTTTTTTTTTTTTTTTTTTTTTTTTAACGACAGAGTCTTGCTCTGTTGCCCAGGCTGGAGTGAAGTAGAAGTATGTACGTTCTAGAAACATCAATCTTTAGGGTTAGGAGGTGAGACCAGAGGCCATGGAGCCTCCCCATCTCCCCCCGTGCCCGCTGCCCCCTGCCCAGGCCTTAACCAGGACCAGGGTTTTGGAGATTGGGTGGAGTGAGAGATTCTGGCACTAGAAGGTGAGCAAGGTGGGTGCTGGCTCGTGCGCCGGGCTGAGAGGGCAAGGCAGAGCAAAGTGTCCAAGAGCATGGGCCCTGGGTTCCAGTGCCACCTCACCACTGTGTAACCCTGAACAGTGACTTCTCCCTGAGTCTCGATTCTTTTTTTTTTTGAGACTGAGTTTCGCTCTTGTTACCCAGGCTGGAGTGCAATGGCGCGATCTTGGCTCACCGCAACCTCCGCCTCCCAGGTTCAGGCAATTCTCCTGCCTCAGCCTCCTGAGTAGCTGGGATTACAGGCATGTGCCACCATGCCCAGCTAATTTTTGTATTTTTAGTAGAGACGGGGTTTCACCATGTTGACCAGGATGGTCTCGATCTCTCGACCTCATGATCCACCCACCTCGGCCTCCCATGAGTCTCGATTCTTGATGTGTTAGGCGGGTGATGATAGTGCCTGCCCTGCAACCCCTTATGGTGGTTTATGAGTTAACGACCATAGCATGTTCAGGGCAGATCAGGTCTCGGTGAAGATAGCTCTTACTGCGTCCTGCCCACCCCCCGCCCGCTGCCACCACCACCCCCTGCTGCCGCCCCCCCACTACCACTGGAGCCCAGCCCTGACACCCTGACAAATCCTAATCTGTTCTTTTTCCCTCCTGAAGTGGAGCTGGCCTCAACCTCCCAGACTTCGGCCTTTCCAGGAGAATCAGATCCCAGGTGAGAGAGGTAGCTTGGGGTGTGGCCCAGCAGGCAGGTGGGGCTCCAGGCTGGGAGCCGAAGGATCTGTTCCTTCCTCATGGGTCTTAGACTCAGGGTGGCAGCTGAGTGCCTGGTGAGGTCATCTGTGCCCTTTGCACCCCTTGGTGTGAAGGGTTGGGGGGAAGGGCAGTCAGGATTTTTGGGTCTCACCCCTGTGGCCAAGTCCCCTGGTGGGCCCCTGCCCTCCCCAGCAGGACACCCCCACCCCCTCTCTGGCTGGGCTGGGTGCCGGACTGGGTTGTTGGCATGGTGGGGTGGCTGACCTGTCTTTTTTGGGGGCGGGAGGCTCTCTGCCCCTCGGGGGAGGGTGTCTGTGTGTCCGGGTGGCAATCCTGTGCTGTCCCCCATTCTGTCCCTAGCCACACCAGGAGCTGCAGCCATGGCCTCAAAGCCTGAGAAGAGGGTGGCATCGTCTGTCTTTATCACCCTGGCACCCCCGCGCCGCGATGTGGCTGTGGCGGAGGAAGTGAGGCAGGCGGTTTGTGAGGCCCGGCATGGCCGCCCCTGGGAGGCTCCTACCCCAATGAAGGCACCCGGGGCTGGCTTGGCGGGGAGGCCCAGTCCCTGGACACCCCCTGGCAAGGCTGCAGCCACAGTGCCAGCTGCCCCTCTGCAGCTCTCCAATGGAGGTAAGAGCGGAGGGGACTTGGGGGAAGACCAGGTCAGAGACAGAGGTGGGGAGCAAAGGGCAGGCTCCAGCATCATTCATTTATTCATTCAGTCAGTCCTACTAAGTGCCAGGCAGATTCTGAAACCCACTTGCCTGGGTACAAACCCTGGCTTCTCCATTTCTCAGCTGCGTGATGCTAGCAGGCCACTTAACCCCTTGTACCTTGGTTTACTAATTTGTAAAACAGATCAAGACAGCACCTCCCTCAGTGTGGTTATGAGGATTAAATGAGTTCATACACCTGTAAAGTGTTTAGCCTTGGGTGTGTCACACAGGAAGTGCTGAGAGGTTTTGAGCCTGAACAAAGCTTCCATCCCAGTGTACGGAGCACACATAATGAAAATATGATGTCTGATGTTGGGCAGACACATGCGCTCCATGGAGTAAAGTGTGGTGGAGAGGTGATGAGGGGCAGCTTTTTTGTTTGTTGGTTTTGAGACGGAGTCTCACTCTGTTGCCCAGGCTGGAGTACAGTGGCACAGTCTCGTCTCTCTGCAACCTCCACCTCCCAGGTTCAAGCTATTCTCAGCCTCCCATCTCCTGAGTAGCTGGGATTACAGGCATGCACCACCACACCCAGCTAATCTTTGTATTTTTAGTAGAGACGGGGTTTTGCCATGTTGTCCAGGCTGGTCTTGAACTCCTAACCTCAGGTGATCTGCCTGCCTTGGCCTCCCAAAGTGCTGGGATTACAGGTATGAGCCAGCACGCCCAGCCAAGGGCCAACTTTTATAGGGTGCTCAGGATGGCTTCTCTGAAGAGGTTGTATTTCAGCTGAAACCTGAATGATAGCGTGGAGCTGGCCAGGGGGAGATAAAGTCTGAGGGGCAGTGCAGAGGCCTGAGGCAGGAGGGAATTTGGTAGGTGAAGGGTCTTTAACCTGCTTTTGTTTTCTCCTGGGCTCTGCTGTTCTCTTGCTGTGTGATTGGAGTGAGCCATCTCCTGCTCTGGGCCTCAGGGTCCTCTTCTGGCAACTGGAAATTCGGGAGTGGATGTGATCATCAATCATAAAATGAATACAGCACAAATGACTGTTTCATTCCCTTGGGCCTGGTCGGACAGGAAGAGCCTTCCAGTCCTCTTCCCTGTGTCTCCCAAGGACAGTCTCAGCTATCAGGCGGGGCAGGAGTGAGGAAGGGTGGTAGTCCAGGGCCTGGGGCAGATGTTGGCTCATCAGCTGACAGGGTACTGGCTGAGATGCTAAGGGGCAGAAGCCAGCCCAGGGAGGCAGCTAAGTCCCTGAATCCCCCAGGTGCCTAGTCAGGTGTCCTGCTGTCCTGGAGCAGGGCGGGGGCAGCCCTGTCCATCATCACTGTGGAAATCACTTAGTGGCCAATAGGAAGTGCTGATTACAGGAAGCCAGAAAAGGGTCAATACAAGGGGCCACACAGGTTCAAGTACGCCTGGGTGTCCATGGACCATGCTTCCTCCTTGTGATGGATGCTCCCACGTTGATCTTTCCTTCCTAATCTCACATCCCAAGAACAGAGGCTCCTCCCAGCCACCTCTCCTTATAGGAGGGCCATCTTGACAAAATTCACACATCAGGACATGTGATCCAACAGGAAAAAAAAGATGTGCCCCTTCTGGGTGGGTAAGAGAGCTGGGGAAGTAGAGTTTAGATGTCAGAATTTCCAGGACATTTTCATGGGTTATTGGGATTATAGGAAGAAGATCTTGGGAGTGTGGGAACAAGATCAAACTTGCCTTGGGAAGGGCTGGCCTGTCACTGGTCAGCACGGCTGGTTGGCTGTTTCATCTGCCAATTTGATGCCCTCAAGCAGAGCATGGGGATCCTGGGGTTCAGTTTCCCTGAAGAGAGAGAGCGGTTTTTTGTTTTGTTTTGTTTTTGAGGCAGAGTCTCTCTTGTTGCCCGGGCTGGAGTGCAATGGGGTGATCTCCGCTCACCACAACCTCTGCCTCCCAGGCTCAAGCCATTCTCTTCCCTCAGCCACCCAAGTAGCTGGGATTACAGGCATGCACCACCGTGCCCAGCTAATTTTTTGTATTTTTAGTAGAGACAGAGTTTCTCCATGCTGGTCAGGCTGGTCTCCAACTCCCGACCTCAGGTAATCTGCCCACCTCGGCCTCCCAAAGTGCTGGGATTACAGTTGTGAATCATCTCGCCTGGCCTATGAGATAGTTTTATGTGAGCAGCTTGTCATGCTCCTGGTCTGATCTCAGGACACAAAGGCTGGCCCTGGCCAGCTGCTTGAAGCCATCTACACCACAGGCTGCCATCTGCCATCTGCCTAGTACTTATCTTCTTAGTCATCCTCAAGCAGCTCCTGGACCCCCTTTCTGCCCACCTGCCCTGCGGCCTCAGGTCGCCCTGCTTCTCTCTCGAATTCCTGTGGCTCTCTGTGGGCCCTACGCCGGGGGCAGGCACTGGGAGAGGCCACAGCACTCTCGCTGCCTCTCCGAGACCTGGCTTCGGGCTCTGTGAGCTCATTGGAGCCTGGTTCCCACACTTCGGCTGTGTCAGCAGTGGTGTTGCCCAGGCCTGTTCCAACACAGCCCCCGGCTCCCACCCCGGGTAGCTCTGATTCAGCAGGTCTGCTGTGGGGCCCGAAAATCTGCCTGTTTTTTTTTCCAGGGTCTTGCTCTGTCACGCAAGCTGGAGTGCAGTGGTGTGATCATGGCTCACTGTAGCCTCAACCTCCCTGGCTCAAGTGATCCTCCCACCTTAGCCTCCCAAGGAGCTGGGACCACAAGCCCTCACCACCATGCCCAGCTAATTTTTGTATGTTTTGTAGGGACGGGTTTTTGCCATCTTGCCCAGGCAGATCTCAAACTCCTGGGCTCCTGTGATCTGCCCGCCTCGGCCTCCCAGAGTGCTGGGATTACAGGTGTGAGCCACCACACCAGCACAGTTTGCATTTCTTGCCCCTTGCCAGGTCATGCTGATGCGCTGGTCTGGGGACCACACTTTAAGAACTGTTATTCTAGGCCAGGTACAGTGACTCACATCTGTAATCCCAGCACTTTGGGAAGCCAAGGTGGGCGGATCACCTGACGTCAGGAGTTCGAGACCAGCCTGGCCAACATATTTAAACACCCATCTCTACTAAAAAATACAAAAATATTAGCTGGTTGGGGTGGCAAATGCCTGTAGTCCCAGCTACTTGGGAGGCTGAGGCAAGAGAATCACTTAAACCCAGGAGACAGAGGTTCCCGTGAGCTGAGATCGCACCACTGCCCCCCAGCCTGGGTGACAGAGCAAGACTCCGTCTCAAAAAAAAAAAACCAGAGAACTGCTATTCTAGTTCAGTGGTGTCAAGCAGGTGGGACTTTGGGGCTGGGACAGTTGTCTCAGAGTGTGGCCCCTGGGAACTCATCAGACACACACATTCCCATTGTCCTGGACCTGCTGGATCAGAAACTCTGGGATTGGGGCCCCCCGACCGCCAGGGGATGCTGTCACCAGCTCAAGTGTGAGGATCACAGGCCTAGAACCAACTTCCCATCTGTACATCCCTCCAAGCCCAGGGAGAGGCGAGGAGGGGGAGGTTGTCTTGATTGAATGGATGAGAAACCTGAAGCCTGGAGGGTGCCCCTATGAATGAACTGGAGATGAGGCTACAGCCAGGCCTGGACGCTCAGGAGTCTCTAGCACTTTCTCTCTGCTTTCCATAGGCATCTCAGTTAGGCTGAGCTCCTGGGCCTGGCCTTACCTGTGCCAGGAGGTAGGCAGAGTACCCTTTTCTCCCCAGGGCACTATTCACAGTGCCTACCCCATATGGGCAGTAGACAGAGGGCTTTCACAGGCATGGTTCCAGCCTCCCTCTGAGGCTTCCCTCCTGCCTTCCAGGGGCTCCGGGCAGCCCCTTGTTGGGGCAGCCTGGCATGCGGGGCGGGACAGTTACAGCATCGATGGTCCCTAGATGGAGTGAAGAGCCTGGAGCTAAGCCCCGCACCCCCCTCCCTTTCAGAAGCCCTGAGGGTCTGTGCCCTCTGACTAGCCATCAGGATCAAGGGCAGCTCTTGTGCCCTCCTATTCTGCCAACCTCAGCTCCTGGGAGCAGGAGCGGAGCTGTGCCAATAATGGAAGTGAGTTTGTGCCAGTGTGTCTGTGGTGTGTTGGGGGTATGGGTGGCTGGGTGAGCGTGGGATGTGAAGGTGTGGTTTTATGAAACTTTCAAACATATGCAGAAGTAAAGAGAACAGTACAAGGACCCTACCTAACCTACATCTGGTTTCTTTCTTTTTTCTTTTTTTTTTTTTTTTTTGACATGGAGTTTCGCTCTTGTTACCCAGGCTGGAGTGCAATGGCGCGATCTCAGCTCACTGCAACCTCCACCTCCTGGGTTCAGGCAATTCTCCTGCCTCAGCCTCCTGAGTAGCTGGGATTACAGGCACGTGCCACCATGCCCAGCTAACTTTTTGTATTTTTAGTAGAGACGGGGTTTCACCTTGTTGACCAGGATGGTCTCGATCTCTTGACCTCGTGATCCACCCGCCTTGGCCTCCCAAAGTGCTGGGATTACAGGCTTGAGCCACCATGCCCGGCCTCTTTTTTTTTTAAAAAAAAAAGACGGGGTTTCACCATGTTGGTCAGGCTGGTCTTGAACTCCCGACCTCAGGTGATCCACCCACCTTGGCCTCCAGAGTGCTTGGATTACAAGGGTGAGCCACCACGCCTGGCCACCTATATCTGGTTTCAACAGTGATGGAGACTTGGCCACATTTGTTTCTATTCCTTTTTCTCTTTTTCTTTTGCATAGTTGTGTTGTTGTTTTGAGACAGAGTCTCGCTCTGTCTCCAGGCTGGAGTGCAGTGGCCCAATCTCGGCTCAATCTCGGCCTCCTGGGTTCAAGCAATTCTCCTGCCTCAGCCTCCTGAGTCTCTGGGACTACAGGTGCACGCCACCACACCTGGCTAATTTTTTTGTCTTTTTAGTAGAGACAGGGTTTCACCATGTTAGCCAGGATGGTCTCAATCTCCTAACCTCGTGATCCACCCGCCTCGGCCTCACAAAGTGCTGGGATTACAGGCGTGAGCCACCTTGCCCAGCTTTGTAAAGTATTTTAAAGGAAACCCGAATCATTGTGGCATTTCAGCGCCACATTGGTCAGAGCTGTCTTTCTAAATACAGCCATTTTCTTACATAACCACAGTGCCAAACAGTGCCATATTTAACAAAAATGCCTTCTGCATATCTAATACTTTGTTCAAAATTAAGTTTCTCTGATTGTCTTAAAAGTGCCATTTAGACCAGGTGCAGTGGCTCATGCCTGCAATCCCAGCACTTTGGGAGGCCAAGGTGGGCAGGTCGCCTGAGCTCAGGAGTTCAAAACTACCCTGGGCAACATAGCAAGACCCTGTCTCTACTAAAAATACAAAAGAATAGCTGGGTGTGTTGGTGTGTGCCTGTGGTCCCAGCTCCTCAGGATGGGGTGCTTTTTTGTGTGCTAAGACATCTACCACAGCTCAGTGTGGCCTCTCCACGTTTCCAGTAATCAGTAGCCACATGCGGCTGGTGGCTACTACATTGGACAGCACAAATCTATGCATTGTTCTCTTAAGTCTCCTTTTTTTTTTTTTTTTTTTTTTTTTTTTTTTTTTTTTTTTTGACATGGAGTTTCAGCTCTTGTTACCCAGGCTGGAGTGCAATGGCGCGATCTCGGCTCACTGCAACCTCCGCCTCCTGGGTTCAAGCAATTCTCCTGCCTCAGCCTCCCGAGTAGCTGGGACTACAGGCACGCGCCACCATGCCCAGCTAATTTTTATATTCTTAGTAGAGACGGGGTTTCACCATGTTGACCGGGATGGTCTCAATCTCTTGACCTCATGATCCACCCGCCTCGGCCTCCCAAAGTGCTGGGATTACAGGCGTGAGCCACCGCGCCCGGCCTCTGTTAAGTCTCTTAATTCCGGGGCAGTCCTCCCTCCCTGTTTTTCTCCCTCATGCCATGGGCTTGTTGCAGAAACAAGGTCGGTTTTTGGTAGAAATCCCACCTGCCAGGTTCGTCCCTTTGCTTCCCCGTGTTCTCATTTCGCTTCCCCTTCTACCTCCTGAATCTGCTAATGGGAGTTAACTCCAGAGACTCGATGAGATGGAGGGATTTTGTTTGTTTGTTGCAGAACATTTTCTAGGTGCCATAGCTTCCCATAGCATCACACGAATCAGGAGAACGCCCCGCTCCATGACTGCCGAAGGCTACAAGTCGGTTCAGGCGGCAGCAGCCTGACCCCACCTGTGAAGCTTTCCCCCCAGTGCTTTCAACACCTGATGGTCATGACCGGGATCTATTACTTAATTAGGGTGGTGCACTGTTCCTACGCTTGAGCAGCATCAGCATCACCTGTAGGACTTCTTAAGATCCACGTGGCTGGCCCCAGCTCCTGGGTTTCCAATTCTGCAGGTCTGGGGCAGGCGGAGAAGTTGCATTGCTGACAAGCTCCCGGGTCATGCAGCTACGGTCACTACAGGGGTCGTGCTGGGAGAGCTGTGGCCTTGGGGGTCAGTTATGCTTCTGTTTCCATGAGGACCTCTGGCAGGTGGTCTGGGGCACTCTTGAGCACTCAGGCCCTGTGGCGGGGGCTTGCTGAGCAGGGCATTCACAGCCGCTGTTCTCTGAGCCCTGGCCACATGTGCCACTCACTATGTGTCATCTCATTTCATCCTCAGCAGCCTAAGGGACTGATGCCCGTTTTTCAGCTGAACAAAATAAGACTCAGGGAGGAGAGACTATGTTTCCTTTTTCTTTTATTTTTTTCTTTTTCATTTTATTATTTATTTTTGAGACAGGATCTGGCTCTGTCACCCAGGCTGGAGTGCAGTGGGGTGATCTCTGCTCACTACAACCTCTACCTCCTGGGTTGAAGCGATTCCCCTGCCTCAGCCTCCCAAGTAGCTGAGACTACAGACACACACCATCACATCCGGCTAATTTTTGTATTTTTTGTAGAGATAAAGTTTCACCATGTTAGTCAGGCTGGTCTTGAACTCCAGACCTCATGATCTGCCCACCTCAGCCTCCCAAAATGCCGGGATTATAGGCATGAGCCACCACATGCAGGTTTTTTTTTTTTTTTTTTTTTTTTTTTTTTTTTCAGTATCTTTTTGGATAGAGTCTCCCTCTGTGACCCAGGCTGGAGCGCAGTGGTGTGATCTCAGCTCACTGTAGCCTCAATCTCTTGGGCTTAAGGGATCCTCCCATGTCAGTCTCCCAAGTAGTTGGGACTACATGGCCAGGCTGCCATGCCTGGCTACAGTTTTGTTTTTTTGTTTGTTTGTTTGTTTGTTTGTTTGTTTTGAGATGGAGTTTCGCTCTTGTTACCCAGGCTGGAGTGCAATGGTGCGATCTCGCCTCACGGCAACCTCCGCCTCCTGGGTTCAGGCAATTCTCCTGCCTCAGCCTCCTGAGTAGCTGGGATTACAGGCACGCGCCACCATGCCCAGCTGATTTTTTGTATTTTTAGTAGAGACGGGGTTTCACCATGTTGACCAGGATGGTCTCGATCTCTTGACCTCGTGATCCACCCGCCTCGGCCTCCCAAAGTGCTGGGATTACAGGCTTGAGCCACCGCGCCTGGCTTTTTTTTTTTTTTTTTTAAAGTAGAGTTAAGGTCTCACTATCTTGCCCAGACTGCTTTTGAACTCCGGGGCTCAAGTGATCTGCCTACCTCGGCCTCTCAAAGTGCTGAGATTTATAGGCATGAGCCACCTCACCTGACCTGAGATTAAGTTTCTTGCCTAAGGACACACAGCAAATCAGTGGCAGAGTTAGAGATGGAAGCCAGACCGGGGTGACCCCGGACCCGAGCCCTTAGCTACCCTCCACATGGCCATGTGGGTAAGTAAAACCCTCCCCTGTCCACCTGGGAGGCTCTGACCAGCCCTCTTTCCTCCCCAGTTGCAGGATGTCCACCCCCTCCTCCTGTCCTGGATGGTAAGGACGCTCTTCCCGACCTGGACCTCCTCCCACCCCCTCCACCGCCCCCTCCAGCGCTCCTGCCCTCTGAAGAGGAGGCTCCTGCTCCAATGGGCGCCTCACTCATTGCAGACTTAGAGCAGCTGCAGCTGCCCCTGCCCCCACCCCCGCCACAGGTACTGCCCTCTTCAGCAATCCCTTGGTCCTCTGGGTTGGAGGATGGGGAGGAGTCTGGGCCCTCTGGGCATTCAGGGGTTCTAAACCTGGATGTTGTCTGGAGGTTCATTCATCTCAGGCATCCCCAAACTTTTTACACAGGGGGCTAGTTCACTGTCCCCCAGACCGTTGGAGGGCCGCCACATACTGTGCTCCTCTCACTGACCACCAATGAAAGAGGTGCCCCTTCCTGAAGTGCGGCGGGGGGCCGGGTAAATGGCCTCAGGGGGCCTCATGCGGCCTGCGGGCTGTAGTTTGGGGACGCCTGATTCATCTGCTCAGGGGCATTCATTCTTTGAAGGTTTCAGGAGACCCTATGCAGTCAGGTAAAAATCGGTTAAGTGTTTCACAGTCCCGGGAGAGGCTGCCATGCAGCTCCCCTTAGACACCCACTTCAGCTCTGAGGAAGACGTTTCCCTGAGTCTGACCTAAATCCCTTAGGCTGCATAGGGAACCTGTTTTTGTTGTTTTCGTTTTTGTTTTTTGAGGTGTCATCGCTCTTTGTCGCCTAGGCTGGAGTGCAATGGCGTGATCTCGGCTCATGGAAACCTCCCCCTCCCCAGGCCTGAGTTCCCTTCTTGGTGCACTGGGGCTAATTGTACTTGTTGCCACCCAGATGAGGAACAGAGCTGGGGGCACTGCATGGGGTCCTCACTGGGCAACTCCCCCTCTGCATCCCCACAGGCCCTGGCAGAGGTACCTTCAGTCCAGCCTGGACCTGGTCCCCTCAGGCACGTGGAGGAAGAGCTGCCGCCGCCTCCAGCAGAGCCTGTTGAGAGAGAGGCATCCACAGGTAGGTGTATAGGGCTGGGAGGATTCCGGGGTGACCTCATGGGGCCAGCATGGGCTTCCAGGTGAGGAGAGTGAAGTCCCCCTTCCCGTCCCCGAGCCAGCGCACCTGACAATGATGGGCTTTGCACTTGGGCATACATTTAATTTGTATCGCTTAGCCTTTTCTCCTTTATACCTAAATTCCATTTAAAATGTATATCTGCACGGTTTGCTATGATAGCAAAAATGCCTTGAATTTTTTCTCCACTATTTTGTTTTTTTGAATCCCTAATGCCGTCACATAGTGCGAAATAGACAGCATGAGGAGGACACAGTGAGAGGCCTGCGACCTGCCCTGTCCCCAAGCCACCCGGTTTCCTTCCAGATGGGCGTCCTCTGTCATTCATTGAGCTCTTGTGTATCCTGCCAAAGACACTGTGCCCATACAAGCAAATACAGATATGTGGCCACCCACTCCCTCCCCCCATTTTTTCATAAGTAGCAAACCAGGCCCTTCTGCTGTTCACTTTCTTTCCTTCCTACATCTCAGAGCTGGTCACACATCAGAATATAAAGTGGCTGCTGGCCGGGTGCAGCGGCTCATGCCTGTAATCCCAGCACTTTGAGAGCCCAAGGCAAGTGGATCACTTGAGGTCAGGAGTTCAATACCAGCCTGGCCAACATGGTGAAACGCTGTCTCTGCTAAAAATACAAAAATTAGCTGGGTGTGGTGGTGTGCGCCAGCAATCCCAGCTACTCAGGAGCCCACATCCAGCTAATTTTTAAATCTTCTCTAGAGATGGGGTCTTACTATATTGCCCAGGCTGGTCTCCAGTTCCTGGCCTCAAGCAGTCCTCTTCCCTCAGCCTCCCAAACATCTGGGATTACAGGTATGAGCCACTGTGCCCAGCCCTTGGGTTTTTGTCTGTGATACAAGTTGCAAATATTTTTCTCATTTTGTCATTTGCCCTTTGACTTACGGTGACTTTCGTCATCCACAAAAAATTTAGTTTTTATGTAGTCCAATGTCTCAGCCCTTTACTGGCTTCTGGATTTTAGGTCATGATTAGAATGGCCCTTCTCCAGAGTTGTACAATAATTCTCTTCTTGTTTTTTCTAGTATTCTTATGGTTTTCTTTTTTTACATTTAAATCTTTGATAAATTTGGGATTATCCAGGTGTAAGGTATTGCTATGGAGCCCCCCTCTCTTATTTATTTATTTATTTATTTGCAGCTGACAATCCCTTTGTCCTGAAGCTGCTGTCCAGAATTCCTTTTTTTTTTTTTTTTCTGAAACAGGGTCTCACTCTGTCACCAGACTAGATGGAGTGCAGTGGCACAATCTTGGCTCACCGCAACCTCTGCCTTCTGTGTTCAAGTGATTCTCCTGCCTTAGCTCCCTGATTTTTGTGTTTTTAGTAGAGACGCCCAGCTAATTTTTATATTTGTAGTAGATACAGGGTTTCACCATGTTGGCCAGGCTGGTCTTGAACTCCTGACCTCGTGATCCTCCTGCCTCAGCATCCCAAAGTGCTGGAATTACAGGCATGAGCCACCACACCTGACCCCAGATTCCTTCTAAATGCTCCTTGCAACCCTCTGTATTTGTCAGTTGAGGGATTTGCAGGGTTCGAGACAGAGCCTCGGGTTCCCTAGACATGTTCTGGGTGGTGCCTGGGTACAGTCCTCACAGGCTGGGCTAGTGATGGCCTGTCTCCCCTACCCCAGACATCTGTGCCTTCTGCCACAAGACCGTGTCCCCCCGAGAGCTGGCTGTGGAGGCCATGAAGAAGCAGTACCATGCCCAGTGCTTCACGTGCCGCACCTGCCGCCGCCAGCTGGCTGGGCAGAGATTCTACCAGAAGGATGGGAGACCCCTCTGTGAACCCTGCTACCAGGTAACCCCTGCAGCAGATCTCTGGGTGCCAGGCACTGAGCTGGGTACTTAGGAGACATTGCACTATGTCATTCCCCCATGATCCTGGGAAGTAGGCACTATTGACCCCTTTCACAGATGAGAAAACAGGCTCAGAAAGAAGGAGCCCAGCAAAGGCGATTAGTTTCCTAGGGCTGCCTGTAAGAGATCACCACAACCTTGGTGGCTTCCAACAATAATTGTTTATTCTGTCTCAGTTCTGGAGGTCAGAAGCCCACTGTCAGCTTCACCGGGCCACAATCAAGGTGATATGCTGCCTGGAGGCTTGAGGCGAGAATCCAAATCTCTCTGCCTTTTGCAGTGTCTTCTGTTTTGAGACAGAGGCTTGCTATGTCACCCAGGCTAGAGTGCAGTCATGCAATCTTAGCTCACTGCAACCCCTGCCTCCTGAGTTCAAGCGATTCTCATGTCTCAGCCTCCCAAGTAGTCCGCCACCACACCTGGCTAATTTTTGTGTTTTTAGTAGAGACAGGGTTTCACCATGTTGGCCAGGCTGGTCTCGAACTCCTGACCTCAAGGGATCTACCCCCTCGCCCTCCCAAAGTGCTGGGAACACTGCACCCAGCCCCTTTTGCAGTTTCTTTCTTTCTTTCTTTTTTCTGAGACAGAGTTTCACTCTTCTTGTCCAGGCTGGAGTGCAATGGCATGATCTCAGCTCACCACAAACTCTGCCTGCCAAGTTCAGGTGATTCTCCTGCCTCAGCCTCCCAAGTAGCTGGGATTATAGGCATGCACCACCATGCCCGGCTAATTTTGTATTTTTAGTATAGATGGGGTTTCTCCATATTGGTTAGGCTGGTCTTGAGCTCCTGACCTCAGGTGATCCACCCATCTTGGCCTCCGAGAGTGCTGGAATTACAGGCGTGAGCCGCTGCGCCTGCTCCTTTTATAGTTTCTGCAGCTGCAGTCTCCCTGGCTCCTTCCTCCACCTTCAAAGCCAGCAGTGTAACATCACACTTTGGCGGCCGTACGGCCACTGCTGTGTCAAATTAAAGGGACACTATGATGGTATTTAGGACCCACCTGGATAATTAGGATAATCTCCTCATCTTAAGAGCCTAACTTATGGATCATCTGAAAGCCTCTTTTGCTGGGCAAGGTGACATTCAAGGGGTCCAGAGGTAAGGACCTGGATATCTTTGGGGACATCTCTTCACTACCACACGAGGGCACATGAAGCGGCCAAGGAGCTGGGATTTTGCTCCAGACCTGTCTGGCTCTGGAGCCTGCCATCAGTCTTGTCACTGTCTCCCCTGGAGCCATAAGGTTCCAATGCTGATGTCACTGGAATCTGCGTTGTGTCTGGGTACCACGTGCAATCTGGGAGAGCTGGTTGGGATGCCAGCATATTGGAATTTCTAACTCTTGGATGGTTTGTGGTGGCATGCTGAGTGTGGTGACCACCCACAGCCGGGTCCTCTCAGGGTGCGTAGACCACTCCTTGTTCTTAGGAATGAGGAATACCTGGAAATCTGCATTTTAAACAAGTGTCTCAAGTGATTCTCATGCATATGGAAGTTTGAAAACGCTGATTTGGCCAGATGCAGTGGCTCACGCCTGTAATCCTAACACTTTGGGAAGCCAAGGCGGGTGGATAACAAGGTCAGGAGTTTGAGACCAGCCTGGCTAACATAGTGAAACCCCATCTCTACTTAAAAAAAAAAAAAAGCCGGGCGCGGTGGCTCAAGCCTGTAATCCCAGCACTTTGGGAGGCTGAGGCAGGTGGATCACGAGGTCGAGAGATCGAGACCATCCCGGTCAACATGGTGAAACCCCGTCTCTACTAAAAATACAAAAAATTAGCTGGGCATGGTGGCACGTGCCTGTAATCCCAGCTACTCAGGAGGCTGAGGCAGGAGAATTGCCTGAACCCAGGAGGCGGAGGTTGCGGTGAGCCGAGATCGCGCCATTGCACTCCAGCCTGGGTAACAAGAGAGAAACTCCGTCTCAAAAACAAAACAAAACAAAACAAACAAACAAAAAAATTAGCTGGGCATGGTGGCGTGTGCCTGTAATCCCAGCCACTCAGGAGGCTGAAACTGGAGAATTGCCTGAACCCAGGAAACAGAAGTTGCAGTGAGCCGAGATCACGCCACTGCACTCCAGCCCTGGTGACAGTGCCAGACTGCGTCTCAAAAAAGGAAGGAAGGAAGGAGGGGAGGAGAACAGCTGATTTGAGGGTCTAGGGTATTCGGAGCTGAGACTCTTCAGAAGAATCCAAATAATCTGATCCCAGGCTCACCACCAGTGAGGCACTCTGGGAGGAGAGAGGAGCCAGGCCCTCCTGCCCTGTCCCTATGGCCCCATCAACATGACGGAGGAGTGTTGCTCAGGGGTGAGACGCTGGGGTAGGAGGGGTGAGGAGGGGTTTCCAGCTGGAAGCAGCCAGGAGGAAGACTTGAGCAGTGTGCTAGGAAGAGGAGGGCCATGCCCATGAGAGGGAGGGAGGGAGCAGGAACTGCTGCTCCCCATATCTGTCCAGGTGGGGTCAAGTTAAAATGCGCAGGAGCATAGCCAGGAAGGAGGGACAGCGTGTCCAGGAGAAAAGGTGGAAAGGCTAGAGGGAGGCCCACTGCTCTGGCTTGGTAATCTCTCTGTCATTCCTCCTCATTCCAGAAGGAATTTGAGGCAGCATCTAAGAGTGTGTATATACCAGCCAGCGTGGTGGCTCACACCTGCAATCCCAGCACTTTGGGAGGCTGAGGTGGAAGGATCACTTGAGGCCAGGAGTTCAAGACCAGCCTGGACAACATGGCAAGATTCCATCTCTATTTTAAATTTATTTTTTATTAAAATACGTTTTTATTTATTTTTTATTTTTATTTTTATTTTTTTTATTTTTTATTTTTTATTTTTTTGAGACGGAGTTTCGCTCTTGTTACCCAGGCTGGAGTGCAATGGCGCGATCTCGGCTCACCACAACCTCTGCCTCCTGGGTTCAGGCAATTCTCCTGTCTCAGCCTCCTGAGTAGCTGGGATTATAGGCACGCACCACCATGCCCAGCTAACTAAAATACGTTTTTAAAAAGAATGCATATATACCTATAGACCACAATAATGTGGTGCACTGAAAAATTTGTTCAGGTGGATCTCGGCCTGGTGTGGTGGCTCACGCCTGTAATCCCAGAACTTTGGGAGGCCAAGGCAGGAGGATCACCTGAGGCTGGGAGTTTGAGACCAGTCTGACCAACATGGAAAAACCTCTTCTCTACTAAAAATACAAAAGTGGCCAGGCGTGGTGGTGCATGCCAGTAATCCCAGCTACTCAGGAGGCTGAGGCAGGAGAATCGCTTGAACCCAGGAGGCGGAGGCTGCAGTGAGTCAAGATCATGCCACTGCACTCCAGCCTGTGTGACAGAGGAAGACTCCTTATCAAAAAAAAAAAAAAAGGTAGATCTCATGTTAAGTGATCTTCCCCCAATAAAACAATTCTTGTAAAGACTGCAGTAATACTATGATATGTAAAATAAATAAAAACATCTAAACAGAATGAAAATTAAAATAGAAAATGAGATGAGATCAGAGGGAATATTACTACCCAAATGTGTGAGGAGGCCAGATGCAGGGGCTCACGCCTGTAATCCAAGCATTTTGGGAGGCCAAGTCAGGTGGATCACTTGAGATCAGGAGTTCGAAACCAGCCTGGCCAACATGGTGAAACACCATCTCTACAAAAAATACCAAAAACTAGCTGGGCGTGGTGGCACACACCTGTAGTCCCAGCTGCTCAGAAGGCTTGAGAATCACTTGAACCTCATGTAGCTTGCAGTGAGCTGACATTGGGCCACTGCACTTCAGCCTTGGTAACAAAGTGAGGCTCTGTCCCAGAATAAAACAAAATGAAAACCAAATAACAACAAAAAAGCCCTATAATGATTCCTGTGGAATCATACAGACAATAAGCCTTGAAATTCTTTCCCTTGTCCATTTGGCCACTTGGAAGCTCAGAGCCATTTGGCTTATTGTCTGTATGATAAAAGCACGCCAACTCTCCTAAGAAATTTTTTTTCCTGACCCTGAGGTTTTTAAGAGAGGTTTCTCCTATGCTCTCTGTGGACCCTGGCTATAAACATATCCCAGTAACAAGAAAGGAAGTCACAGCATCAGAGCAGTATTCCTTGATGTAGGCCAAGGATGCGAGACTAAGCTCAATTTGTTATAATCAACGGTAGAGGTTTGGAGCAATAGTCACGGGCTGTCTACAGGCCTCTCCTGTACTTCCCAGCTCTTGGGCCCCCGAGGGCAGCCTCCCAGAAGAAGGCAACCCTTGTGGCTTGGGGTGGGTGTGCTGTGGATGGCTCTGGCAGTAGCCTCTGTCCCAGGACACGCTGGAGAAGTGCGGCAAGTGTGACGAGGTGGTCCAGGAGCACATCATCAGGGCCCTGGGCCAGGCCTTCCACCCCTCCTGCTTCACGTGTGTGACCTGCTCCCGGCGCATCGGGGATGAGAAGTTTGCCCTGGGCAGCCAGAACGAGGTGTACTGCCTGGATGACTTCTACAGGTATGAGAGGGGTCTGCGCACCGGGTCGGGGTGGGGACAGAGTGAGACCCAAGCAGGACGAAGGAGCTGAGCTTTAGTCCTGGGGGCTGGGTCAGAGTTTCTGTCTATTGGTTTTTTATAAAGAATATTATAGGGCTGGACGCAGTGGCCCAACACTTTGGGAGGCCAAGGTGGGCAGATCACCTGAGGTCAGGAGTTCGAGACCAGCTTGACCAACATGGAGACACCCCATCTCTACTTAAAAAAAAAAAAAAAAAAAAAATTAGCTGGGTGTGGTGGCACATGACCGTAATCCCAGCTACTCGAGGCTGAGGCAGGAGAATCGCTTGAACCCAGGAGGTGGAGCTTGCAGTAAGCCAAGATCGCGCCATTGCACTCCAGCCTGGGCAACAAGAGCGAAACTCCATCTCAAAAGAAAAAAAAAGGGGCCGGGTGCGGTGGCTCACACCTGTAATCCCAGCACTTTGGGAGGCCGAGGCGGGTGGATCACAAGGTCAAGAGATCGAGACCATCCTGGTCAACATGGTGAAACCCTGTCTCTACTAAAAATACAAAAAATTAGCTGGGCATGGTGACAGGTGCCTGTAATCCCAGCTACTCAGGAGGCTGAGGCAGAAGAATCACTTGAACTCGAGAGGTGGAGATTGCTGTGAGCGGAGATCGTGCCACTGCACTCCAGCCTGGGCAACCGAGCGAGATTCCATCTTAAAAAAAAAAAAAAACAGAATATTACATCCTGTAATTCCAGCACTTTGGGAGGCCAAGGTCGCGGAATCACCTGAGATCAGGAGCTCGTGACCAGCCTGGGCAACATCATGAAACCTAATCTCTACTGAAAATACAAAAATTAGCTCTCCATGATGGCACATACCTATAAACCCAGATACTCGGGAGGCTGATTCATGAGAAACACTTGAACCTGGGAGGCAGAAGTTGCAGTGAGTGAGATCACACCATTGCACTTCAGCCTGGGCCGCAGAGCAAAACTGTCTCAAAAAAAAAAAAAAAAGGTCAGGCACCATGGCTCATCCTTGTAATCCCAGCACTTTGGGAGGCTGAGGCAGGAGGATTGCTTGAGGCCAGGTGTTCGAGATCAGCCTGGGCAAAATAATGAGACTTTGTTGCTACAAAAATTTCAAAGAAGTTAGCCAGGCATGGTAGCACGCACTTATGGTCCCAGCTACTTGGGAGACTAAGGTAGAAGGATCGCTTAAACCCGGGTGGTAGAGGCTGCCGTAAGCCACAGTCATGCCACTGTACTACAACCTGTAGTGAGACCCTGTCTCAAAATGTACTAAAATATTAGCCGGGCGCAGTGGCTCACAGTTGTAATCCCAGCACTTTGGGAGGCCAAGGCAGGTGGATCATGAGGTCAGGAGTTCAAGACCAACCTGGCCAACACGGTGAAACCCCGTCTCTACTAAAAATACAAAAAATTAGCTGGGCGTGGTGGCAGGTGCCTGTAATCCCAGCTACTCAGGAGGCTGAGGCAGGAGAATCTCTTGAACTTGGGAGGTGGAGGTTGCAGTGAGCCAAGATGGTGCCACTGCACTCCAGCCTGGGTGACACAGCTAGACTCCATCTCAAAAAAATAGTAAGATAAAAAATAGGCCGGGTGCGGTGGCTCAGCCTGTAATCCCAGCACTTTGGGAGGCCGAGGCGGGTGGATCACGAGGTCGAGAGATCGAGACCATCCTGGTCAACATAGTGAAACCCCATCTCTACTAAAAATACAAAAAACTAGCTGGGCATGGTGGTGCGTGCCTGTAATCCCAGCTACTTAGGAGGCTGAGGCAGGAGAATTGCCTTAGCCCAGGAGGCGGAGGTTGCGGTGAGCCGAGATCGCGCCATTGCACTCCAGCCTGGGTAACGAGAGCGAAACTCCGTCTCAAAAAAAAAAAAAAAAAAAGATAAAAAATAAATATTATCTCGGCCGGGCGTGGTGGCTCAAGCCTGTAATCCCAGCACTTTGGGAGGCCGAGGCAGGTGGATCACGAGGTCAAGAGATCGAGACCATCCTGGTCAACCTGGTGAAACCCCGTCTCTACTAAAAATACAAAAAATTAGCTGGGCATGGTGGCACGTGCCTGTAATCCCAGCTACTCAGGAGGCTGAGGCAGGAGAATTGCCTGAACCCGGGAGGCGGAGGTTGTGGTGAGCCGAGATGGCGCCATTGCACTCCAGCCTGGGTAACAAGAGCAAAACTCTGTCTCAAAAAAAAATAAATAAATAAAAAATAAATATAATCTCACAGGCAGGTACTATTAAGGGCCCTAATTTACCATCCAAGTCACACAACAGCTAAGCCCCCAAGGTCTCCCCACAGGTAAGTATTGAAGCTCTTGGTAAGTATGCAAATTCCCAAGGACCTGACTTGGGGGCCCTGCTCTGAAACCTCAAACCTCGGGGCCTGCCCTTGGAGCTGCATGAACCAGTGCGGGCACATGAACATCCGTTGCACTCAGTTCCTGGCCATGAGTTGCTCACCACTCAAGGGGAGAGACGAGTGTGCCTCTGAAAAAAGAAAGAAGTGTTGGAAAATTTTTTTTTTTTTTTTTTGAGACGGAGTTTCGCTCTTGTTACCCAGGCTGGAGTGCAATGGCGCGATCTCGGCTCACCGCAACCTCCGCCTCCTGGGCTAAGGCAATTCTCCTGCCTCAGCCTCCTGAGTAGCTGGGATTACAGGCACGCGCCACCATGCCCAGCTAATGTTTTGTATTTTTAGTAGAGACGGGGTTTCACCATGTTGACCAGGATGGTCTCGATCTCTTGACCTCGTGATCCACCCGCCTCGGCCTCCCAAAGTGCTGGGATTACAGGCTTGAGCCACCGCGCCCGGCCTGGAAAATATTTTAAAAAGATGAGGCTGGGCGCACGCCTGTAATCCCAGCACTTTGGGAGGCCGAGGCGGGTGGATCTCCTGAGGTCAGGAGTTCGAGACCAGTCTGACCAATATGGTGAAACCCCGCCTCTTTAAAAAAATAAAAAGAGCCGGGCGCAGTGGCTCAAGCCTGTAATCCCAGCACTTTGGGAGGCCGAGGCGGGTGGATCACGAGGTCGAGAGATCGAGACCATCCTGGTCAACATGTGAAACCCCGTCTCTACTAAAAGTGCAAAAAATTAGCTGGGCATGGTGGCACGTGCCTGTAATCCCAGCTACTCAGGAGGCTGAGGCAGGAGAATTGCCTGAACCCGGGAGGCGGAGGTTGCAGTGAGCCGAGATCGCGCCATTGCACTCCAGCCTGGGTAACAAGGGCGAAACTCCGTCTCAAAAAAAAAAAAAAAAAAAAAAAGATGAGATGGATCCCAGCCCAACTGAACCCCAGTGAGACCTGGTTTCCCAGGCTCACTAGAGATTGTTCTCAATTCAGAAATCTCTAGTGATGCTGGGAAACCAGGTCTCATTCCACAGGTCTCTTGCACCTGCTGCCAGGAAGAAATAGACATCTCTGCTTGTAGCTGCCGGTACAGTCTCATAGCAATGGGTGTGAAATTGCTCAGGAGGTGAACTCCACCCAGCCCGAGTTCTGACAGCTAATTAATTTCTGTGGTTGCAGCATGAACACCTCCCAAGCATGGGTTTCTTTGCTTCTAGGAAATTTGCCCCCATCTGCAGCATCTGTGAGAATCCCATCATTCCTCGGGATGGGAAAGATGCCTTCAAAATCGAGTGCATGGGAAGGAACTTCCATGAAAATTGCTACAGGTGTGAGGTGAGTGGAGCCCAGGTGGTTTAATAACATTCAATCCCTACGTGCCAGGCCCTTGGCTGGGTTCTGAGGCATGGGGACAGGTCAGGGTGGAGGCTCTGTTCTCAAATTGCTCACTGTCCAGTAGCAGAAACAAAAGATAAAGGAAATACAGCTATAGTCTATTAATCAGAACTCTTTGCGTTAATGATAGAAACCAAACTCAGATTGCTTTCTGAAAAAAGGCAATCTATTGGCTCATGGTGGTAGGATGACTGATGATACTGAGTGACGGCATCAGGACTCCCTCCATCTCTCTCCTTTTGAGATGAAGTCGCACTTTTGTGTCCCAGACTGGAAGGAAGTGGCACAATCTCAGCTCACTGCAACCTCTGCCTCCTGGGTTCAAGCAATTGTCTGGCTTAGCCTCTTAAATGTCTGGAATTACAGGCTTGTACCACCATGCCGCTCTTAATTTTTGCATTTTTAGCAGAGACGGGGTTTCACCGTGTTGGCCAGGCTGGTCTTGAACTCCTGATCTCAAGTGATCTGCCCACCTCAGCCTCCCAAAGTGCTGGGATTATAGACATGAGCCACCATACCCAACCAAAATTCTTAATTTCTGAACAAGGGGCCCCACATTTTCATTTTGTCCTGGATCCTACAAATTATGTAGTTAGTGCTGCTAAGAAGCCTCCAGAAATCCTCCCCCACCCCTTCTACTGCCAGCTCCTTATCATTGAAGTTTCTATCTTCTCTGGTGGCAGCTTTTATGGGAGGACCCAAGTGGAGAGCCCCAGAGCAAATATCTTACTCAGCCGATGAGTAATTCCAAACACTGTTCACTCCCATTTATTTAAACAGATACTGGAACCCAGAGGCTATTTTCACTGAGGTTGTCAAGGGAGCTGGGTAGAGAAGTTGATAAATTGCTGTATCATTACATTGTCTGTTGGTTATAGTTCAAAGTCCTGCTGATAATGCAATTTGAAAGCCCAATGAGGAAGTTCAAGGGCTGTTATCCCCACCATCATCCTAATGAGTTCCAGCAGCGACTGGCAGTTTCCTGAGCCTGGCCAGGAAGCACATAAACCCTCCGGTGAGTTGGCCAAGGCTCCTGTAGTAAGTCAGGATTTGGACTCCAGCAGTTATGTGTCAGAAGATGAGGCTCTTGGCCAGGCACAGTGGCTCATGCTTGTAATCCCAGCACTTTGGGAGGCCCAGGCAGATGGATCACTTGCAGTCAGGAGTTCAAGACTAGCCTGCACAACATGGTGAAACCCAGTTTCTACTAAAAATACAAAAATTAGGCTGGGTGCAGTGGCTTATACCTGTAATCCCAGCGCTTTGGGAGGCCAAGGCAGGTGGATTATGAGGTCAAGAGACTGAGACCATCCTGGCCAAAATGGTGAAACCCTTGTCTCTACTAAAAATACAAAAATTAGCTGGGCGTGGTGGCGTGCACCTGTAGTCCCAGCTACTTGGGATGCTGAGACAGGAGAATCTCTTGAACAGTGAGCTGAGATCATGCCACTGCATTCCAGCCTGGGTGACAGAGCGAGGCACCATCTCAAAAAAAAAAAAAAAATTAGGCATGGTGGTACATGTCTGTAGTCCCAGCTAGTCAAGAGGCTGAGGGAGGAGAATCGTTTGAACCTAGGAGGCAGAGGTTGCGGTGAGCCAAGATTATGCCACTGCACTCCGCCTGGGCAACAGAGCAAGACTTCATTCCAAAAAATAATAATAATAATAATAAATAAATAAAAACGAGGCTTCTGAGCCACAGCAGCCTGGAAGGAGTTGAGTGCTATTTCCTAAGAAGGCAAATGGGTTTCCATGCACTGCCCACACCTGCACCTCACCATTGCTACCTGCTTTGGGATCCATATTATTTATGACTATTGTTGGAAGTATAACGATACTTTTATACATAGATAGTGTTTTAAAATATATAAAATACTTTTATTGGCCGGGCGCGGTGGCTCAAGCCTGTAATCCCAGCACTTTGGGAGGCCGAGGCGGGTGGATCATGAGGTCGAGAGATCGAGACCATCCTGGTCAACATGGTGAAACCCCGTCTCTACTAAAAATACAAAAAATTAGCTGGGCATGGTGGCACGTGCCTGTAATCCCAGCTACTCAGGAGGCTGAGGCAGGAGAATTGCTTGAACCCAGGAGGCGGAGGTTGCGGTGAGCCGAGATCGCGCCATTGCACTCCTGCCTGGGTAACAAGAGCGAAACTCCGTCTCAAAAAAAAAAAAAAAATGCTTTTATTAACATCACCTTGTTTAATCCTAGTGATAGCCTTATGAGACAGGATTTATTGTCCCCATGTAAGATAAGGAAACTGATGGGGTGTGGTGGTTCACACCTGTGATCCCAGCACTTTGGGAGGCTGGGACAGGAGAATCCCTTGAGCCCAGGAGTTTGAAGCCAGCCTGCGCAGTGAGACCTCATCTTTATAAAAAATTTTTTTATATTTGCCAGGCATGATGGTACCGGTCTGTAGTTCCAGCTACTCTGGAGGCTGAGGCAGGAGGATTGCTTGGACCTGACACAGGTGGAGGCTGCAGTGAGCCACGATCATGCCACTGCACTCCAGCCTAGGTGACAGAGCGACGCTCTGTCAAAAAAAAAGAGAAGGGAAAACAGGCAAATAGTCTCAGAAAAGTGGTTCCAGCCACGCTTGCGTGGGTTGGGTTCGGCAAGCTTTCAGCGGCCGCACGGCTGCCTTACAGATGGTGTGAGACCTGGCAGTAGATGAGGAGTTTCCTCCGATCGGTTCTCATTTAGGAGGGGTCACAGATGGTACAGATGCTGCAACTGTGTAGCCTGGAGTCCACTTAAGAGACTCAAGTGGCCTTGCAGGGAAGAGACACTCAAGGGTGCCTCACCTAGCTGGCCATGGAGGAAGGCAGATTGCAGACCCTGGTCCCTACTGGGTCAGGAGGGCCACCTGTGACCTCAAAGTTGTCCCTATAGGGACTCTTTTGTGGGATCAATGCAGCTTCCAAAGGGTGCCCACAACCAAGGCTTTGCACACAAATTTTCCCTTCTGTCTTTCTCCAGCATGTGCCCATGGGTGGTTTCTGGGGCAGAACAGTGATGTTGGCAGTTTGAGGCCCGAATCCCTGTGTTCCTCATTCTGAAATCCTTGGTGATTTGAAAAAGTGAAGATACTAACATTTGTACCAGTTTTGAAGCTGTGTGGGCCATGGAGCCACAAAAAGTCCCCTGGACCCAGAGCCTGGAAACCCCATCTGGTCCCGGCTCCAGAACCAGCTGTGTGACCTGGGGCAGAGCCCACCCCTCCCTGGACCTCAGTATCCCAGCTGTGAAATGAAGAGACTGGACTAGATTCAGGCAGTCATCAGCAGATGCCCATGGCTGGCTGCGCTGGGCTGTGCTGGGCTGGAGACTTGGCCATAAACAGGGGTCCCGTCTCACAGAATTTATGTTCTAAAGGGGCCGTTAGGCTGGGCACGGTGGCTCAGCACGGGAGGCGGAGGCAGAGGTGGGCGGATCAGTTGAGGTCAGGAGTTGGAGACCAGCCTGGCTGACATGGCAAAACCCCGTCTCTACTAAAAATACAAAAATTAGCCAGGCATGGTGGCGCATGCCTGCAATCCCAGCTACTTCGGGAGGCTGAGGCAGGAGAATTGCTTGAACCTGGGCGGTGGAAGTTGCAGTGAGCTGAGATCATGCCACTGCATTGCAGCCTGGGTCACAGAGCAAGACTCTGTCTCAAAATAAATGAATAATAAAAACACATTTTAAAAAATAATATTTATTTATTTATTTTTGAAAAGGGAGTTTCGCTCGTGTTGCCTACGCTGCAGTGCAGTGGCATGATCTCAGCTCACCGCAAACTCCACCTCCTGGATTCAAGCAATTCTCCCACCTCGGCCTCCCGACTGGCGGGGATTACAGGCATGCTCCACAACACCTGGCTAATTTTGTATTTTTAGTAGAGACGAGGTTTCTCCATGTTGGTCAGGTTGGTCTCGAACTCCCAACCTCAGGTGATGCGCCCGTCTCAACCTCCCTAAGTGCTGGGATTACAGGCGTGAGCCACTCCCAGCCTTAAAAAAATGATAAAGGGACTATCAAGGCCTTTCTAGCCCCAACCTTCCCTGAACCCTCAGGGGACTCCCCCAGGTGTCCTCAGTCTTCCTGTCAGTGAATGTTTGTCCTCACCTCCACCTCCACGTGGATTAAAGCCCCCTGTGTGTGTCTGTGGCTCGTATTCCCTTATGGAGACCTGGCCCAGGTGTTGGGAGGACAGCCACGAGCAGCCTCCTCACTCCCGCTGAAGGAGAACTCCCACTCATGCGGTTGGTTTATGTGGCAGATGCCAAGTGAGTTCCTCCGCTGTGCAGGCAGCGCCCAGGCCTGGGGTGAGTCTGCAGATGTCTTTGTCTCCCCAGGACTGCAGGATTCTCCTGTCTGTGGAGCCCACGGATCAAGGCTGCTACCCCCTGAACAACCGTCTCTTCTGCAAGCCATGCCACGTGAAGCGGAGTGCTGCAGGGTGCTGCTGAGAGCACCCTCTGGGCGTCAGGCAGTGAATGGACCACTAGCCCCGGCTGGGGCCCTTCCCTGACTTGGTTTCCCTTCCTGACCTGTTCTTGCACACTTTCTTTCTGAGCCTTCATAGGGACCAGCCTGCCAGTCGTCTCGGCCTGTCCAGGACACAGCGGGCTGAGTGCCTGCTGACCTTCCACTCCTCCTCTACCCTCTAGGCACCAGAAGACTCCTGGACCATGAGCGTCACCCCCAGAATTCCCTGCTGGGCCCACCCCACTTCCAGGGGAAAGCTGGGGGAAGTCTGCCGGGGCACTTGGACCCCTATCACTGACTGTAGCTGTCTGATAGGGGTGCTGGGACCAGCCTGGCCAGTTGTAGGGTTGAGCTGTTTGAGGAAAAACTCCAAGATCCCTTAAAAAGTGCTTTTTAGGGCCGGATGTGGTGGCTTATGCCTGTAATCCAAGCACTTTGGAGGCCAAGGCAGGTGGATCACCTGAGGTCGGGAGTTCAAGACCAGCCTGACCAACATGGTGAAACCCCATCTTAAAAAAAAAAGTGCTTTTTAGGCCAGGCATGGTGGCTCATGCCTGTAATCCCAGCAGTTTGGAGGCCAAGGTGAGTGGATCAATGAGGTCAAGAGTTTGAGACCAGCCTGGCCAACATGGCAAAACCCCATTTCTACTAAAAATACAAAAATTAGCTGGGTGTGGTGGTACATGCATATAGTCCTAACTACGTGGGGGGCTGAGGCAGGAGAATCACTTGAACCTGGGAGGCAGAGGTTGCAGTGAGCTGAGATTGTGCCATTGCACTCCAGCCTTGAAGACAGACAGAGACTCCGTCTCAAAAAAGGAAAAGAAAAATGCTCGTTGAAAATGTTGAGGTTGAAATGATGGGAACCAGTATTTGGATTTAGGGGAGAGGGCATAGTAGCAAACACCTCCCCTTGGTTCACACGTACGAGAATGGGACCCAGTCGGGGCATAGCCCTGGACTTCCCCACCCTGGCATAGGTTATGCTAAAACGAGGCTGGGGCCCAGGTCCAGGAGGAGAGGGTGGTTCACAGACTCCCTGGGATGGCAGCAGCCCCGACCTGCCTTCTAGCACCTCCTCCCAGTGCTGCAGTGAGTCAGCAGGCATGCAGCGAGAGCCTGGTGCATGCTGGGAACAAGGTGCAGGGGCCCTGTGTGCCTCCTGGACCCATGACAGGAGCCATGCGCCCCCCTCCCGTCCAAAACACACAAGTACTTCTCCAAAATGGTGCTGGGACAGGTGTCCCGTTGTCCCCCTGGTTCTGACCTCAAGTCCCACTTGGGCCCTGCAGCCCAGCCTATCTTGTAACCACTGCCTCAAGGCCACACCTGGAAGAATCCTTTTGAATGAGAATTAACATTGTTGCTTCACTTCTAAGACAGGGCATGGACAAGTGAAACAATGTGCTTTCCAGGCTGGGCGTGGCGGCTCACACCTGTGATCCCAGCACTTTGGGAGGCTGAGGCGGGCGAATCACAAGGTCAAGAGATCGAGACCAGCCTGGCTAACATGGTGAAACCCCATCTCTACTAAAATACAAAAAAAAAAAAATAGCTGGGCGTGGCGGCACATGCCTGTAGTCCCAGCTACTCAGGAGGCTGAGCTGAACCCGGGTGGCGGAGGTTGCAGTGAGCTGAGATTTTGCTGCTGCACTCCAGCTGGGCGACAGAGCAAGACTGTCTCAAAAAAAAAATGTGCTTTCCTTTTCCTCCCTGGGGTCTCACTGTCCCACAGGCTCCGGGGAGACTCCACAGGTGCTGTGCACTGGGCAAGCTTCTCTATAGAGCCCAAGGGGCTTCAGTCCAGAGCACAGCATCTCGCCCTAAGCCTAAAGCAAGGCATCGCAAACTTCTGCACTCACAGACCACCTCCACAATTGTTATCATAACCAAAGGCCTCCTTTTATTTCACTTAAATCAACATGCTATTTTGTTTTCACTCACTTCTGACTTTAACCTTGTGCTGAGCCGTGTATCCATGCAGTCATGCTCATGTGCTAATGTTTTTCTTCATACACATGAAAATAAATGCATAACTGTTAGAAGCTCTTCTGTGTTGCATATAAGCTCTCACACAGGTAAATGCTGGCCTTTGGCAGTACCCTGGAAAAATGTTTGCTGGGCATCTGCTCGCCGTGGCAGGAGTGTCCGGAAAGGGCTGGGCTCAGCTTGGAAGATGGAGGGGTTTGTTTCCTGCATCATGCCCAGCACCAGAGGCTGGTGCCGGCCAGCTGACAGGTGTGCTTCTCCTGGACGTAGGCCACCACTGATGGGGTTGGTTGCAGGGGCCTCACTAAGGCCACCAAATGCTTTAAGAATGAATACTCAGGCTGGGCGTGGTGGCTCATGCCTATAATCCCAGCACTCTGGGAGGCTGAGGAGGGTTGATCACGAGGTCAAGAGATCAAGACCATCCCAGTCAACATGGTGAAACCCCATCTCTACAAAAAATGCAAAAATTAGCTGGGCATGGTGGCGTGAACCTGTAGTCCCAGCTACTCGGGAAGCTGAGGCAGGAGAATTGCTTGAACCCAGGAGACGGAGGTTGCGGTGAGCCGAGATCGCGCCATTGCACTCCTGCCTGGGTAATGAGCAAAACTTCATCTCAAAAAAAAGAATGAACACTCAGGCTGGGCATGATAGCTAATGCCTGTAATCCCAGCACTTTCAGAAGCTGGGGTGGATGGGTCACTTGAGGCCAGGAGTTCCAGACCAACCTGGCCAACATGGCGAAACCCTACCTCTTCTAAAAATACAAAAATTAGCTGGGCATGGTGGCACATGCCTCTAGTCCCAGTTACTCGGAAGGCTGAGGCAGGAGAATCTCTTGAACCTGGGAAGAGGAGGTTGCAGTGAGCTGAGATCACATCACTGCACTCGATCCTGGGTAATAGAGTTAGACTGTCTCAAAAAAAAAATAAGTCAGGCTGGGTGCAGTGCCAGTACTTTGGGAGGCCGAGGTGGGTGGATGGGTTGGGTCTAGGAGTTTTTGAGATCAGTCTGGGCAACATGGTGAAACCCCATCTCTGCAAAAAATGAGCCGGGCATGCACGTGTAGTCCCAGCTACCTGGGAGGCTGAGGTAGGAGGATCACCTGAGCCTGATGCTGAGGTAGGAGGTTGAGGATGCAGTGAGCCGTGATTGTGCCACTGTGCTCCAGCCTGGGTGACAAGAGTGACACCCTGTCTCAAAAAAGTCCCAAAAGGCCACTCACCCCCAGGGCCTACTCCCTGCACAGAACCAGGCTGCTCTCCCTCCAAGCTTGCACACCGGCCTCTGGGCTCGCTTGGTGAGTACAGGCCCAGGGGCAGCTGGTGGTCTAAAAGAGTGCTGGCTTGGGGACAGGCCACCCAGAGCTCAGACCTCTCTCTGTACTCAATACCCTCAGCTTTGATGTTCCCATCTGGAGCAATTAAAATTTTTTAAAATAAAAATAGAGGGCCAGGGGCAGTGGTTCATGCCTGTAATCCCAGCACTTTGGGAGGCTGAGGCAGGTGGATCACAAGGTCAGGAGATCGAGACCATCCTGGCTAATATGGTGAAACCCCATCTCTACAAAAAATATATAAAAAAATTAGCTGGGTGTTATGAAAGGCACCTGTAGTCCCAGCTACTCGGGAGGCTGAGGCAGGAGAATTGCTTGAACCTGGGAGGCAGAGGTTGCAGTGAGCCAAGATTGTGCCACTGCACTCCAGCCTGGGCAACAGAGCAAGACTCCATCTCAAAAAAAAAAAAAAAGAATAGAGGCCGGGCATGGTGGCACATGCCTGTAATTCCAGCAGTTTGGGAGGCCGAGGTGGATGGATCACCTGAGGTCAGGAGTTCACAGCCAGCCTGACTCACATGGTATAAACCTGTCTCTGCTAAATACAAAAAATTAGCTGGGCATGGTGGCACATGCCTGTCATCTGAGCTACATGGGGGACTGAGACCGGATAATTGCTTCTACCTGGAAGGTGGAGGTTGCAGTGAGCCGAGATTGTACCATTGCACTCCAGCCTGTGCAACAAGAGCGAAACTCCGTCTTTTTGTGTGTGTGTGTGCCTTCTCTTGGACATTTCTTTATTACATTTCTTCCTTTTTTTTTGAAAGAAGGAGAAAGAAAAAGGGGGAGAGAGAACAGAATTCCTGCTCTATTGTCCAGGCTGGAATGCAATCTTAAAAAGGTATTAAAAACCTCTTTTATGCCAACAATTGTACTTAACGACAGAGACAGGAAGGAATAAGGGAAGAAAGTAACAAACAAACAGCCAACCAATATTTCATTTAAGTCTGTGAGATGCTATGCAAATACTGAAGAGGAATTTACTTCCAATTATGTCGTCACTTTCAGAATAGGTGTAATACGATACTGAGAAAAATGTATGTTCCTTAGACCTGAGGTGGAGAATTCTATAAATATTCCCTGAGTTTACTTATTCCAGGTCTAAATTCAAATCATAGATGTCTCTATTAATTTTCTAACTGATTGATCCGTCAAATATTAACAACCCGATGTCAAAATCTCCCTCTGTTATTGTGCGGGAGTCCAAATCTCTTTATAAGTCAGTAAGAACTTGTCTTATGTATCTGGGTACTCCTATGTTGGGTACCTATATATTTATGATCCTTAACTCCTGTTATTGCATTGATCCTTTTACCATTATATATCCTTCTTTGTTTCTTTTGGTCTTTGTTACTATTAAAGTCTATTTTGTCAGAGACAAAAGTTACAACTCCTTTTTTTTTTTTTTTTTGCTATTTAATTGGTAAATCTTCCTCCATCCCTTTATTTTGAGTCTTTCTGTGTCGTTGTGAGTTAGATCTGGATACGAAATACCAACAGATTTTAACTTTTTAACTTTTTATTCCATTTGCCTGTCTGTGTCTTTAACTGGGGCATTGAATCCATTTAAATTTAGGATTAATATTAATATGTGTGAGTTCAATATTGTAATTTAATGCTAGCTGGCTATTTTGCCCATTCGTTGATGTAAATTCTTCATTATGGAGATACTCTTTACCTTTTGCTAAGTTTTTGGGCTGACTGATACTGGCTGTTCCTTTCTGTGTGTGGTGCTTCTTTCAGAAGGTCTTGCAAAGCAGGCCTGGTGGTGGTGAAATCTCTGAGTGCTTTCTTGTTTGTGAAAAATTTTATTTTTCCTTCATTTATGAAGCCCAGCCTGCCTGGATACGAGACTCTGGGTTGAAAATTCTTTTCTTTGAAGATATTGAATATTGACCCCCCACTCTATTCTAGATTGTAGGGTTTCTGCTGAGAGGTCTGCTGTGAGTCTGATAGACTTTCCTTTATGGGTAACCTGACCTTTCTCTCTAGCTGCCCTCAGAATTTTCTCCTTTATTTCAACCCTAGTGAATCTAGCAATTATGTGTCTTGGAGTTGCTCTACTTGAGGAATATCTTTGTGGTGTTCTCTGGAATACCTGGAGTTGAGTATTCTCCTGCCTCACTAGGTTAGGAAAGTTTTCCTGAATAATATCCTGAAGAATAT